TCATTTCTGGTTGAATGGGTACGTTAACAAGCAAAATTGCCGCATCTGGAGTGAAGACCAGCCAAAAGCATTGCAAGAGCCACCAATACATCTCGAAAAAATCACTATTTGGTGTGGATTATGGGCCGGTGGCATCATCGGGCCGTACTTCTTCAAAGACGACAATGGCCGGAACGTAACTGTGAATGGCGAGCGCTACCGTGCGATGATAACAAACTTTTTTTTGCCCAAAATGGAAGAGCTGGACTTGGCCGCCATATGGTTTCAACAAGACGGTGCCACATGCCACACCGCACACGAAACAATGGCCCTATTGCGACGCGAGTTCGGTGAACAGTTTATCTCACGTTTGGGGCCCGTCAATTGGCCGCCTAGATCGTGTGATTTAACGCCGTTGGACTATTTCTTGTGGGGCCATGTTAAGGCTAATGTCTACAGGGATAAACTAGCAACGATTGACGCACTGGAAGCTAATATTGAAGCATTTATTCGTGAGACACCGGCCGATATGTTGGAGAGTGTGCCAAAATTGGACCTTGCGCATGGGCTATCTAAAGCGGAGCCGCGACCAACATTTTCATGAAATAATCTTTAAACATTAAATTATATCGATCATTATATCGACTCAAATAAAGATTTTATCGTTGTTTCAAATGTTTTGTGTTTTTTTTTTTGAAAATCAAATCCTATACCTCTTAAAAAATCACCCGTTATAAATGTGAATGTTCTGATCAGAGCTGTACTACTATTCGTTAACGAGTAAGGATCGTTGGAAGAATGCATAAAAATACTGTTTTCTACAATAAGGCAGTCAGACGGAGTAGTGGTACTCTCCTTCAAACAGGCTATTGAAGAAGAGAGATGTGCGACCTTAGGGAGAAATTAGAAGCGTTATTGGGAAATCCCATTTTTGAGAAAGCATCCAGCTAATGAGCGAGCATTTGTGACAGACAGATCTTTTATGTATTGTTTCCAACAAAGAATTATCTATCTACAACAGCGCTTGCATATTTGCATTCGCTCAACAATTCAATATGATCCACAGTTGTTGTCCTTCTCCAGTCTGACTAATACAAACCACAATGATTGACTTTATCATCTTTCTCATATTCTTTACAATCAAAAGCTAAAGGAACACTCTTCTTACGATTGTAGCAACTACAAAGGAACACTGTTGCAATTAATAAATTAAATTTGTTTCCTTAACGTGGCCATTGCTTTCACTTTGCAGATGCGCGACCGATTATATAACCAAATCATCATTGAACTTTGACATTGATCATCTCCACAATACTATACGTAATGTATGTACATGATTCTCACGGTACCATAGACCCCAATTGCTATGAATTTTCTGGCGCAGTTTTGATGAACCGAAGTATCGGTAATTTCAAAAAGCGCTAACTTTTACTTTAAAGTATTGCATTAATACAGCATCTGAACTTATCTTGTGGTTTGCATGCTTATAGAACTACAAGTTTCTCTGGTCGGCAAACACCACATATGTTGGAATTAGTAATACAGTTTTCGTCCGTCCGATCACAGATGGCCAACCATGGACAGCTGTTTCGCGCTATGTGGCAACCCCTTAGCATGAACTAGGCATGGTCATAGGTAGGACAACGACCGAAAGTTGAGCAACTGTCATCTGTCCAGGATACAAAGTAAATAGAAATTATATTGTAATTACTCTTAACTGATGCCTCAGTCATCAATGGTGGCCTTTTTAAAAAAAGACAATAAGATCCTGACTATGCCACACAAAGACTAATTTTAACATAAGCGGCTTCATTTGGCCAGAGAGACATGGCGTTCTATAGTGTTACGCTACATACTAGAAGCCCACATATCCGAATTTTACCTACACAGCGTATCTTTTGAGAATTGTCACTGATTACCTGAAGATGATAATTCAATGCTAAATATACTTCCGCGCCCAAAAAATTATTCGATATAAAATGAGATAACGTAGCGCCATCTATGAGAGCTTGGATTATGGAACAATCTACATGAGGAGGCTTTTCCCAGTTCTACTAACTTTATGCAGTACAAAACGGGTTAACAAGGTTTCATCAGGTCCCTCATACTATCTGCGGTGCCGTGGCATTTAGCCTTATGCCCGCACCGCTGCTTCGGTGTAAAAAAAATTTCACAACTATCTTCTTCCTTTCGGCACTAATTAGAGAACTACTTTAGAAATATTATCATCTCAAAGATGGTGCTGTAGTCAAGTATAAGTATGCTAGCTGTGACAAATTCTCATTTCATCTTGAATAATTTTTTGGGCGCCGGAATATAGTACTGGGCTGGGAATTTTCAGGAAAAATGCATTAATCACTGTTTATGGTTAGCTATTCACTGGGAGAGTGCACGCATTCGCTATGGCGTACAATAACTTTATAACCAGATAGATTGAGTTTTGCAACAATAAAATGTTACATATCGCATCTTGTATAATATCGTTGTTTGAATTCGTGTGTCTGATGCCAACAAAAGATGTGTTTTCACTTTCTTTGCGAACATGCCTAAATATAAATCTCTGAAGAAAAGCCGTTTTCAATAATACATGGGCATTGAACGATTTTTTATGGTTAAGAGTACCTCGCAGTTTGATGGTAATGTGGTTTAACGCTATCACTTCACAAAGCTAATAAAGTCAAATATAACCAATGGAAAATAGATAAACATCAGTTACAGCTAAATAAAAATAACCAATATGTAGGAAAAACACTATCTCCCATCTATCCACATCTCTTTCAGGTGCCTTACAACTTCGGTATTTCTTAGAGTACTGCAGGTTTATCAAGAAAAGTTCCAAGTAACAGCAGTTGAATAGCTTGATCATAAGTTTTTCATTTATTAAATAATGTGATAACTGTTTTCATAAGTACACATGGTGATTGTCATTGTTGTTGTTTGCTTGTACTTTGCTTGTTAAATCTTGATGTATTATTTTTTTGGTTATTTAAGTTTTTTCACTTCATTTTTTCATTTACTACTTTGAGTTTTATGAATGTATCTTTCGCATTTTTGTCATCCCTGAAGGAGGCCTAAAATAAATGTCGTAACATCGCCCCCTTGTATTTTATACCAAGTGTCCGAAGAACTTAGAAGTACATAAGCTTCTTTCGTTGACTCGCGATACTTCGGCAAACTGCTAAGCTTATACTAAGCTTTTCTTTTGGAGTAACTGGGTGATTTAACAAATAATTTGATACACATTTTCCAGAAAAAGGTGGGTACGGCACTGTCTGATACATAGCATCGTAAAACATTGATTTCTAAACTAAATGACTATCTCCTCGTCAAGGATGACATAGATTTGCCACTTATGATTCAGATTTCGTCTTCAGGATTGCGTTAAAATTGAAAATGGAGATAAATAGCTATTGCGTTAGCCGTAAATGCCATTAATAGAATTAAGCAATTCATTTCTCGGTTCGATTATCGAAAAATTAAATGCTTCTTTGTCAATCAGCACTCTCCAATCACTCATCTTCAAATATTTTAGCATTTTATCTCAAGTTGAGCTCGGTAGGTCTGATATTTTGCTGGACTAGTCGGAATAAGTCGGCAGAAGAGAGGATGTAGCTTTTAAAAATCAAAATAGAATAAGTCTGTTTTGACAAAGAATATTATTTTGGGAGTCTCTGGTGCAAGATAATCCAAAGTATATGAAAATATAGAAACAAAGTTACGAGTATTATTTGAGAAATATGAGATACCTACAAAGAGGTGTCTCCTACATTATGTTTTTCAGATCCATTTGAACATGTATTTTCACCGACTCAGTGGAATGTAAAATTCTCAATTTCAGTATAGCTATCCTATTTGGTGGATTGAATTATTTGAAAATGTCATCATACTGCAGTTTCATGCCGTAATCTCTTCTGCATTTACATTTTTACTTACTATTCTCTCGTTTATTTTCAGTCATCATACGAGTAGGTTTCCAGTGTTACCAAACGGACATATAAATTCCAATAATGTCACGGCGTCCCGTATGGAGGTATAAGGGTATCGAAGAAATGAAAAATATCTACACTCTACGCAAATGGAAAGCTTCATGGCAAATTACACGTGATATGGGGCTATTAGGAGCGTATATGTGCGTCTGCAGAACCCGTGATACGAGAGAGGCCGATCTGTAAGGGGCTCTTACACAGAGACGTGAAGCACCCTGCAACTAAGACCGTGATAAGCTGCAACTTCTTGCTATATTGTCCGCAAACGTCATGCGTCATAAAACGCACAAAATATCACGGTTTAGATGAAAAAGTAGCGATGCCAGTTCAATCGTTAGGGGTCGGCTAACCAGAACTTGAAAAACATATTAACAAATTACGAACTAATAGTACACTTTCAAGTTGTATTAACTTGAAAGTTACCACTGATTACAAAACTGAACTTGAAGGTATTATTATAAGTAATAGGTATTGCATATATCAACACTCCCTAAGTTTTACTTTTATTGCTTGTAATAAATAAATTCGAATGCGGTGCAATTATTTGGAGCCCTGTTTATGAACTTTACAAAAATGATATAAAAAAAGTGCAAACCAAATTCATGAAATATCTATCCTATAAGAGCGATGCTGCCAAGCCTCCTGTAGGTTTCTGCTAAATATATTTCGTTTACCCTCCTTGGAAAAGAGCAGGGTGCAATCATCGGTCATATTCTTATACAAATTATTAAGTGGTTACATAAACTATCCTGTGTTACTGTCGCAAATTGATTTTCTATTACCTAGATTAGCATCTTTGATATTTTCTCCTTCTTTTCTAAATTTTCATTTCTATTTCTATGTGAGAATGATCCTTACTATAACTATATATTTTTTTGCTGGGCAATGAATGCTCTATTATTAGTACTTTTTGCATCATCTTACAAACAACGCATCCCCACATACTAACCTGTTTGGTACGAATAGTCCTATGCGTACGTGCTAGACCATGGGCGAGTACCTTAAGTGAATCTATCTTATAGTAATCAGAATTACCTTTAGCTTGTGCGGATCGATGGGTTTCTTGTTGTGTGGGTCGTGGTGTTCGTCAGCGTCCCTTCTGACCACCACGTGCCGCCCTTCCGCGACTCCTACAACCAAACAGGCCAGTACGACCGCAGCCGCTGCTGCTACAGTCGTGCACGTCATCCGGTTCATGGTTTTTCTATCTGGAAAGTAAAAGGGTCACGTGTAATAAAATTCCAATGGGATTCATCATATCATATTTTAGGATACATTGATCCTTAACAAGGTGTATAGAACGAGCTAGAAACCTCTCTCTTGTCATGGGGTTCCTAGATAACTTCCAAGATTCGGGAACCTCATAGATTAGGATGAACGAAAATCCTACCTATACCTTGACACAGCGCGCGGATGCCAAATTATTTAATTCCAACGATGAAAATTTGTTTTGGTCTTTTCAACCTCCTGGCTGCATTAGTTCCATCCAGAATTGCCTACAGGCAAGACAAGTGGGGCAGCTGCCTCAGGGTGCAGTGTCATGGGGGGGGCAAAATTCTCAATCAGAGCGAATCCAGGGAGGTCATGAGGTTAATGAATCTCCACTGGACGAATCGAAATCGACCAGACAACTCCAAATACCTCCCCCCACTCATCAGTTATCAGAAAGGAATTAGCTCCTGGTAGCACTGATGCAGCTGAGTCATTTTCCATTCGCCGATAGACCCCTTCTTGACTCAAAGGCTGGATCCGCCCTTGTTCTCAATTAATATGGGGAGCGCAGATTTTTAACTTTTGACTTGGGGTGCACTTTACTATGATTTCGTTCAAAAAGCCTTTCGTGTCGCCTGAATGGAGTTGCGCAGTGTCTCCGCAGATCTCCGACAAGTACCAGCTGGACCCTAAGTTATTGTTCTGCCTTGAAGATACTGGCAGACACTGAGAAAACTACCTAATGGATTTACGCACTGAAAATGGTAGATAACTCACAGTGTATGCAGCCCCATTAAAACAAACACCAGTGCGCAACGTTCAAATTCGCGCGCTCCTATTAGCCAGCGAGTCATAAGTGCCCAGGCAGGCAGCGACAAGCAAACAAATGCGACTATTGAGTGCCAATGTTTGCTATGATGCGGAGTAAATGAAAACTGAATAGTTTATAGTAGGCAAAAAGCAATCTAAGAACATCTTAAATTAACCTCCAATATAACAAGAACACTAAAAGAAGAAACTTCGGAGAGTGGTTAGACCTGTTGACTGTCTACTTATTATTTAGAGAACAGAGGAAAGAAATGAGAAGATGAAAGTATCAAATTCACAATGCATTGCGAGAGATAAAAGACGCTTTAAGATACTGGTAGTTATATCTTACGTGGAGTCACCGGCAATATGGAGCTTCATAAAGATAGTTTTAATAATATTTAAGAAATGGAGTGGAATGAAATACCTCAGGACCAAGTAATGCACAAAGATAGGATTCAGGTCTCATTAAAATCACAACGGAATCCAATATATCGGGATCCTGTATCTAGAAATTGATACCTTGTTGAAAATTGTTCATAAATGTATCCAAAATCTCCCAAGCTATTGTAGATACTTAATAGTAAAACTCACACTGACTGCATTTCTATTTACTAGCAGTGATTTTTCCAAAGCAGCAATATATGCTTAGCATATTCAGAGTTCCTATTGTATATACTAGTATAATTCTGTACTTAAGAACTGCTTTCTGATAATTTTCTTAGTTATGTAATACTACACTTTTCTCGGTGGAATTTTAATGAGCATCATTAGCCGAATCGGATTCAAGGCAGAATACCTTTGGCTATTATGCATATCTGGTGGTATGAACCTTTCAATATTCTCTATTGCATTTGCAAAAAACTATCTGAGCATGAAATCAAGAAGATTAAGCAACAATTAAAGAAAACCAATATGTACTTTTTCAGTGACCACTAGGTCGAGGGTGGGCGATGAAACTCAAAATAGGCATCTGAGACAAAATTAAAGGAAGAATTTCGTTGAAGCGGGCCACATAAGATATTGGGAAGAATGCCATCTTGCCCCTTTTTAACTTGTACATCAGTGGAAACAATGGATCATGGATCTTTTTAGACCTCTCGAACTGCAAAATGTTACTTTTGCAGCTGGAAAAACAATTTCGTTGATAAAAAGCAAGCATGGTTTTCACTAAGAATATCACTGAAAACCTACGTTGCTGATAGTAAGAGGTTTATTTCTATATATTTAACACCCATCACACAATAAATATTTCTGCATATACATATCTCCATACGATAAAAAGTTACTATTGAAGTTTGTAAAACGGGTGTTATCCGTTATCCTTCACCCCTAAAGCAACTTAATTCAAAAACTAAAAATGAACGAATTTTAGAATGAATGAAGGAGATGGAAATTTCAAACGCCGTGATCAGCATTTTGTACCATTTGGAAGTGGTACAGGCCAGCCTTATATACGCCACTAACTGATTTTCTAAACGTTTTCTAAAAATTCTCTATGGACCACCATGTTTAACAATATGTTACATTAATTGCTGACTAGTCCTTAACATATATGAACACCTGTATTATTGGATTTCAAATAAACAAATGAGCATAGCCAACACAAACTAATTATCGCTTGTAAATGTTAATCTTTGAAAAAAACAGCAGTCCCCACTGTTTGGGCATTCAACCGACGTTCACCGCGACTATGGCGACCGATTTTGTCCTTGGGTAGCTTTCAAAACAAGATATCTTAGCAACAAGCAGAAATATAGACTGTCAACACAATAAACGCATTTGCGACTTTAACGATTTATGTAAAACATAGATTTTCACCGAATGACAGCGAGCACTTCAAGTGCTGAAGATTTTCTAAATACGTCTCTTGATACTGAAAAAAGTATGCACCATTGATACTATGTACACAACTTGACATGAGGAACCATACCACCAGTATGTGTCACCTAACCAAAGCTCGCTAGCAAATAATATTATTATAACTATGTGCAAGACCAAGGTATTGTAATTAGAGGTCGTGGCAACAAGTGAATGCACCAGCTAAAGTGTTGAAAGTAGGCTATTATTACATAATAAAGGAGCCGAAATAAGATAGATGACTACTGTTAATTACTTTACAGGATGTCTCCTATAACTGTGTGTAATTTGAAAATATTAAAATACATATACGAGGCCAATTCTTTAGATGATGTCTTGAAAAATATTGTGCCAATGTAAAGCTTCAGTTTTTATCAGTCATATCAAGAATGTTGCTTTCGAAAATTGCTTGAGAATCGTATGCATATAATATTTTACATTACTTAGCAATCGCAAAGTATAGGATTGTACTTTTCAGCTGATCCCTCATGAGAACTATTTGCTATTGGAAAAACGCGACCCATATGTAATACATATGAAAGCATACAACAGAGGTATCCGCATACGTCACATCACACATTGTATACATGTATCCTTATTTTTATCTTAAACTGAACAAACTGTATCCATTCCAATGAATTCGCATCTCATATGCTGTAACTGTACAACGAAAACGCTTGCACTTGGATCGAGTGAGGTGAAAGTAGAGCAGAATATGCCCAAGGGCAATGAGATTAAAACTGAAAACAGAGATAACTTTTCAAACAAAATTCGTAAATTTACTTAACAACTGTAACAGGAAGCTTACATCATCAAATCATGTTGCTTGAATGTTTCCCCAAAAAATCTGGAACTTAAAGGATAGTTTACTTAACCGTCTGTGCAATGGATTCAACAAACAGGAGGAATCTATTCATAGAAAGTGAAATGAATAAGATGTCAATCCTTCACCAAAGCGATACCACCAAATGGACAATTGGATAATAAAAAACAGTACTTACAAGCGATAGCCAAGCCTAACGTCAACTACTCACCCTACCGCAAGGTCAGTGACGTCATAAGTTACAAACGTCAACTATCAAGTAAGGAGTGGGGGATACGAGTTACGCAATGGATACTCAGTTTGACAGGTTGTAACAAGGCCACCTCCAAATGATTGAAAGTTGAGCTTTTCAAGTGTCGTTAAGTTTGCGTTTTACTACCTTCCGTAAGTAAGTCCTAGTTGTCAAAAGATACAAAAAAGGATTGAAGGCTGTAGGAAATCCGAATATGTATGCATATTTAAGCCTGAAGGTTTTAAATCATGAAGATATTACAACCAAATTCAAAGGCAGTGCAAGACAAGGTTTCATAATTAAGTCACATATAATGAATTTGAGATTCAGGACTATCACATTTGTCTATAATGGTAACCAGTAAACAACCTTAAGGTGGATATCCTTTTCAAAAGATCTATTAAACAACGTCGTACTGCCATTATTTAATACCGCTTATCCTATGAGGATCCTCAATTATTGAGATACATAAGTAAGATAACTACTAGACTTATATATGCTCTTAGTTCGAAGCTCTGGTGATTCGGAAAAAGATACAGCCGGTACTTACTTCAAGCCACACCAACAACAAAATTAACCTGATCACTGTACGTGCGTACTGCGACTGAGTCGTATACCAGCCCCTTACCCTTTACTTTACTGTCAACCTTCAACCACTCATGCGCGGAACCAAAACACACACACAAAACCATGCGAAAAGCGGGGGAGGGGTGAGAAAAATGGAGGACAGCGCGAAAAATCCACAGGCACAGAGAAAAAAAATCGCTTACACAATATTCCAGCAGCGAGACACTAGCTTAGGAGTGAATGTGATAAACTCTTATGGTTCTTCTTATTTCTAAGGCAGTGCGGCGTGCGTTTCTTTGGTCGATCGTAGTCGAGCGCCGACGAGCGGTAGCAACGAGGTCAAGGAGGGTACCGGTGGTACCCTGACGGGGGGTTTTTATCGATAAGAGAAGACTCCGGGAGTACCGGTGCGGTTTTTGGACGCATCGCGCTCCGTTACTATACTATTAACACAGTTCAAGGCTGTTACAGGCAGATGAGCTTCATGCATCAGTACCATCGGTACTACTTTCAGCTATGCTCGTTGTTCGACAGATGATAGACTAGATTTTGGAAATGTGTATCTTGTATGTTTAATTATTGAAATTGCGATAGGCAACATCCACATGAAGGGTAGTATCGGCATTAGATGGGCTTATGGTACTGGTACCACTTTTATGTTTAGTCGTCATGCTAGATTAAAAAATGTGTGGTGACATCGATATTGGAGGGTACCCATATTACCGAATCAGGTGTTTTTATCGATAAGAGTACGCTCCAGAAGCTACAATTCTTGAAAGCAGTTAGTCCATTATTAACTTTATTCAGATGAGCTGCATGAACTCGTACTACTTCCGTCGAATTTCGTTACTTGACAAGACTCATGCTGTATTCAGAAATTATCTTGGATCTTCTGCTGAGGGCAGAGTCAAGAAGAAGGGTAGTAATGCTGATGCCAGATGCGTCATTATAGTAATAACACCGTTCAATGTCACCACAGGTAGATGAGCTTCATGCACCAGTACCATCGCATCGGTACTACTTTGTTCGACAGATAACAGTCGATATTTTGAAAATGTGTTTCTTGAATCTTTAGTCATTGAAATTAAGAAAGGCAGCATCAACAAGGTTAGTACTGGTGATAGATAGGCTTATTGTACTGGTACCACCTTTGTCTTTCGTCGTTCGCCGTGCTAGATACTGAAAATGTGTTCGATTGCTGTAATAAAATGTTATTGCGAGAGGTGAGATTGGTATTGGTGGGTACTTGTAGTACCGAACGAGATATTTTATCGATAAGAAAAGGTTCCAAGAGTACCAATCCTTAGAGGTAGTCAGTATGTTATTAACACCAGGCAGATGAGCTGTATGAAGCCGTGACGTTTACGTCGAATTTCGTTACTTCACAAGCCTCATACTGGACTTTTCTGCTGAGGACAGAGTCGAGAAGAACGACAGTAATGCTGTTACCAGACGGTACTACTGTTATCATGTAGAGCTTGTTTCGAAGTTAAGTAAGTTAGTTAGTTAAGTAAGTCTTGTGTCAATGGAATATAATACTGTTGTAATAAATTTGCGAAGACCAATATGAACAGTACTTGATGATACTATCGATATCTCTACTATATATCTTTCTTCTTCAACAAATAAAGATTTTCTTGCTGGGTACTAAGTCACAATTTTATCTCAGTTGGTAGCAACGAGGGCAAGGTGGCACCCGTTGGGGGTTTTTATCAATGAGATAAGACTTTGAAAGTGTCGGTGTGGTTTTTGGATGCATCTCTGATACTATTAATACCGTTCAAGGTTGTTAGAGGTATGCACCATGCTCGTTGTTCGACAGATGATAAACTAAATTCTGAAGATTCGTTTCTTGAATCTTTCGTCATTGAAATTACGAGAAGCGCATCAAAGTGAAGCGTAGTACCGGCAATAGATGGGCTTAATGTACTGGTACCACTTTAGTCTATCGTCTTCTGAGAAAGGTCACGCTATATTTTGAAAATGCGTGGTAACATCGATATTGGGGGGTACTCGTAGTACCGGAAGAGGTGCTTTTATCGATAAGAGTAGGATCCAGAAGTACCAATTCTTGGAGGCGGTTAGTCGATTATTAACACCTGGCAGATGAGCTGCATGGATCTGTACTTCGTTACTTGACAAGACTGATGCTGGATTCAACAATTCTTCTGAGAACAGAATCTAGAAGAAGGGTCGGTTTGCTGATACTAGCGGGTACCACTGTCATCATCTAGGCATATTTCAGTGCTTGAACTGGATGAATAAATGCATCCTTAGGTCTTGTATCAGTGGAGTCTAATCCTGTTACTAGTGAGGTCATCGAAGTGAAGCTGCGAAGACCAATATCAACATTACTTGATGGTACTATCGGTATAACCGCAACATTGCAATGCTTAGAGGTACTAAGTCAAAATTATATCACAAATGGTAGCAACGAGGTCAAGAAGGATACAGGTGGTACCGGACGAGGCGTTTTTGGTCAAGAATAGAAGGCTCTGGGAGTACCGATACAGATTTAGGATGGTCCGCACTTCATAAGTGTACTTTTATTATATCGCTCAGGTTTGTTACATACAGATGATCGTCGTACATCAGTATCATTTGTACCACTTGCACCTAAACTGTTTTACTTGGGTCGTTCGTCATTGAAATAAGGTAAATAGGTAGGGGTGGCATTATCAAGCTGCAGAGTAGTACTGAAATAATTTGATCTTTAACTCAGCAGTACCATCGAAACCAGCTGTAATTATTTCGATGTTTGACAACGCTCAGACTGGAGTGGAAATAAGTTCAATTTTCACTCGTAAAAATGTTATTATAGGAAGCGTCATTGAGTATAGGAGTTTTACCACTTGTAGGCCAAGGCACAACTGGTACTACTCTTATCAACAAGGTTTCGAAAAGGTTGGGGTGACTTTTATAGGTGTTTTGTAGGTTAGACTAGGTTTTCAAAATGTTCTTCTTGGGTCTTCAATAATTGTAATAAAATATTACAATCGGCAGCACCAAAATTGAGGCTGGTACCAGAAGTAAATGAAAAGGATACACTAGTACCATCGGTCTCATTTTTGCTTACCTTTGTTACGCTAGATTTTGAAAGCCCAGTATTATTAATTGCTTGCCCTACTAAATTTCCACTTAGCAAAATAGAATGATATAGTCCGTAGCAACGAAATCAACGAGGGTACCGGTACTACCCGAATGGGGGCTTCTTGTCGATGAGATTTAACTTCGGAAGTACCAATGTGGTTTTTGGGTGCATCGAGCTCCGTTAGTAGACTATTAACACCGTTCAAGGTTGTTACAAGTAAATGGTATATCACAGGTACGACTTTCGTCCACCTATACTGTTTTTGCCGATCTTTGCTTTTAATCAAGGTAATAACGGACTATTTTGAGTTTCCAGTCATTAGAAAGCATATCATGGCGAAAGGCAGTATCGAGTGGGAAGTGTGTGCTGGTACTGGCCAGCACTACTGTCTTCTATCTTCTTTTTTGATGCTGTACTAAGCTTTGAAGATGTTTATTTCATTATTATTTACGACACGTAAATGACGGGTATAAGCGGCAGCACCAAATAAGGATATTTTTATTCCCAATAGAGCGATTGGTACTACTTTTGTCTATCTTTGTGACTTTTCTGATGTGCAAACTAGATTTTAAGGAAGCTTGACTTATTGAATCTTTGATTACTGATATAAAATATAACAATCAACAACAAACGGATTGGGAAGGGTACTAGTGGTACCGCACGGGGAGTTTCAATCGATAAAAGGAGGCACCTGGAATCCCGTTGGGGCTTTCGAAGGCGCTCTGTTAGTATACAGCTTAGAAGCGTTCACCATTGCAACAATCAAAGAAACTTAATGCACCACTTCACTGATCCCACCTTCACATACCTTCAATATTTGGTTGAAGTTTGATTCAACTGTCTCCACCTTAAGCTCGTTTTGTCACAGTTTAGGATTTGTATCAGTGTAGGCTGATTATAGTGATATTTCCATTAGATGGCTATATTTGTGTGCTGATAGACTAAAGTTTCATTTCAGGGACTACTCGAAAGTACTTCTATTATTCTTCATGAACATGGAGACTCAAATTTACTTCCAAAAGCCGATCACCTGATTTGACTACAAAGCAAAAATGTAATGAAGAGACTTTGAATATTTTTTTCGTCACGGCCTCCTTAATGAAATAAATAAATCGTCTGTCTAGAATAGACAAACTTCAGAAACTGACGCTGGACCCTGGTCTAACCATGCAGTAAGCTTTCGGACACAGCTCATTTATACGGCTTTTTAATACCCCAGTTTCCGCCACATCAACTCATTTTAACGTCCTGCCTATTTCAAAGTTCCCCAGAGTAGAGTAACGTTCAGTTAGAGTAAGTAACTACATTACTGCCTACGTGGATGAGAACATGATCTCAATTAAAATTTTGGGTAACAGCACTCTCCTGTGTTCTCTCTTATGCATGAACTACAAATTGCCTGAATTACGTTTCATAGTTACATCGTGAAATAATAGTGCTTAAATTTATAATGAAATTTCGGTTGCCATGTAGGAGACTTTTCCTTGCGATAAACTTTGACGGCTTGTCAGATACTAGTAGTTGACACAAGATGGTACAAAAAGACGCAGATTCAACTGGTTTAATCATATAAGTATACTCGTATATATATATATATATATAAATGAAAAAAGCCAGATAAAGTAGGTCCAGAAATGCTTCGGTTCCATAAGACTGGAGCTTAAACTTCAATAGTTCACTTTGCGTACATTCCTCAGGAAGAAATTGACATGTCTTTCTCACGCTTTCGTCTGTCCGACCATCAGAGGGTCAACGAAGTACAGCTGTTTCATGCTTATTGGTAATCATCAGCACTGTAAAGGCTTGATCTCAGGTAGAACAACGAACGGAAGCAGAGCAAGGTTGTTTCTCCTATCGAAGGTATATGCAAATACAATCTCATAAGCATCATATATTACCAAAATCAACAACTGCGAGAGGAATAACAGCTATCTGCGCCGTCGATTCTGGCGTTATAGTAGATGGAGCAACAGAAGGCCAACCGTGTACAGGTGTTTCATGCTTATTGGCAGAGTATAGGCTTGGCGTACCACTACTAACCTGAGAAACCGACGTCATTTTCGGCACTACTCTAAGGAGAATATACACTCTCCCTAAATGATAGAGGAAAGGAACCAAATTTGAGATACTTTTTTTGAAACGGAAAAATAATGTACTTGTTGTTTTAAACGAGCGTATATTTTTAAATAAACTTGCGATTGGATATTCCTGGCATACTCTAAAATAAACAAATAATATTAAATGTATGTTTGACAGACAAAAGGTATATTTTTAAAAAAGTAAATAATTTGAGATACTATT